AAAAACGTACCCTTTCAGTATGTCATAAATTCCGTATGTTTTATGCTGAAACAAAAACGTACCCTTTCAGTATGTCACACATTCCGCACCTATTCCGCACCTACTCCGCACCTTGTGTTAAATTTTAAAAAGTGCAAACTTTTCAAACCGTATAATAAATACGTTAATTCCGTATTTATTTTTTTAGAACGTACTTTACGTACGGAAATTCCGTATGTTATTTTTTATAGGGAATAATTACAATGACAATGATAAAGTAATTATTTTAGACAGAGAAAGCACCTTTTAGAATCTGAAGAGAGTGTTTACATTGAACCTGAAGGAAATATTGACAATTATAACAATTGTGATGATTGTGGTAATGACAATTATGGTGGTTGTAATTATGATAATGATGATATTGATAATGATAATGATAATGAGCATGATAATGGTAGTGGTAGCAGTGGCAATGGTGATGGTGGCAGGATTAATTCTATCAAGACCATTGGTATTTCTAAGAATAAAAGTTCAATATGGACACATTTTGATAAACAAATGGATGAAAAAGGCATAAAATGGGCTAAATGTAAATATTGCTTGTAAGTAATTAAAATAAATTGCATTACTTATTTTTTTTAAAAAAAAATTACTAATTGTGTTAATTACATTAAATAAAGACATGGGAAATATAATATGAATAGTGGCTCTACTTCAAATTTAAGTCATCATCTTAAGAATCATAAAAATAAAATTGATGTTAATGTAAATAAACAAGCAATGATGTTGGACAGATTTCTTAAAATGGCAGTAATAGTGAACATATTGTATATATTTAAATCAATTAATATATTTACATTTGTAATTTTCTTAATCTGTGACCCGTTGACCTGACCCGACTCATTCGAAGCTCTATTCAGGACTCAGATTATATGGCACATTACAATATTCAGACCCACAATATTTAAAAAATCTTAATGGATATACTCATGATAAAAAATCTGATATATACAGTATTGGTATATTATTCTGGGAAATTTCCAGTGAAAAAATACCATTTGAATCTGAAATATCTACAGGGTTTAGTTTTGTATTTTCTATAGTAAATGGTAAAAGAGAAGAAATCATTGAAGGATCTCCAAGAAATTTATACAAGTAAATAATTTTTAATTTTGATGTCCTGCACTATAGATCCACGCGAACCATATTTAATTTTAAGGTTCGTGTCACCAAAGGAATTCGGAAAAAACGCTTGAAAATCATTTTGCATAAAAACTTTACATGTCATTTACTTCTTGATGGGTACCCAAACAAATTTTGCAGAATTAGCCAAACCATTTTATATTTATCCTGTAAATGGCATGTAAATTTTATTGATTATTATTTTTTAAAAAAATAATTATAATTTAAAAAAAACTATAATATTTTTTTCTCAATAGACAATGATTGCAACAAGTCTTTAGATAAATTTGAATACATAAGAAAAACATATAGACCAGCAAACCATAATGTAGTCATTTTATTTTATTTTTTTAAGTTATATATTTAACAGGTTATTTTCAATCTAACTTTATTTTTTTTTTGATTTAGGAAAATTTTGCTAGGATTCAGTGGTGTTGTAAATTACTAGAAACCCGACAAAAGGAGATTAGGGTACTGTAAAATTTTATCTGTCATATAATAGGTCTTCGCAAAGTTATTAAACCATTTATCTAATTCATTTATATTTAAAAATATTAAAGAGTCGTGTGTGTGATATTACTGAGAAACTATTAAATGATACTGCAGAAAAATCATATTTTCCTACATCTGTCACTGCCATTCATGCACTTGTGTATACATTTGTACACACTTTAGTAATTATTTCACCAATAGTATCTGAAAAGACAGAAGAAGCTTCTAGGCTAATAAAAATGATAAATGGTTTTTTAGTCCGTTTAGCTGCTGGAACATTGGTAGCTATTGATCCTGATGAAGCAACTGTTGGTTATTCACACATACAAATACAGAATTATAATAGTTTGGCTCAATGTATATTCCTTGAAGGTTTGGTAAAATGTCTTCTAGTGAAAGATGTTCAATTAAGAAGATTTGTCATGGAAAATCTTTTAATGGTATTATTAAAACATATAACTGATTAAAATTAAAATTCTTAAAAGCTATATATCTAATAAAATAAACTTTCACTAGAAACATTGGATATTGCCTGATCAAACAATGACATCTCTATATGAACATGTTGTGCAATTATTTTCACAAGCTGCTTTTGAGATGCTTTCTGATCCTAAATCCTCTATTATTGATCAAAACAATCCTTTTTCATCATTACCATACCTTATACTCAACATTTTATATAATAAATTACCACCTAAAGATCTTCGTAGAATGTCACCACAGGTTATACGAAGCCTTATCAGTGTATTAGTGTCTATATTTACTTTATCATGGCCTGAACTTGCACCACAACGCAGTAGTTCACTTTCTACACCCAATGCCACCGATAATCATTCTTCATCTTCTTCATTCACACAAAGTGTAACCAACAATAAAACCAACAACAACAAAAACAAAAATTCGGTTAAAACAATGACATCTTCATCAATTAAATCATCTAATAATGATGATTTACTTAGTCCAGGAGTACCTAAGCAAACAGACATTGAAATTCTATCATTGGCAAAAAAATATGTTGAGGATTTATGGAATGAAGGATGGAAAATGGAAGTCATAGAGCTTGTCAAAGAAACAGTAATTAAACTTTTATTTTTCTTACTCATTTTAAAATTGTAATAATAATAATAGAGGTCAACTTAATTAAATTTTTCTTTGTGTGAATAAAATATCAATTATAGTTTCAACAAGATAGCCTTGAAAGAATTATTGCAGTGCTAGATCAATTGGTGTTTGGCATAAATGATACTATGGGAAATGATATTGTTAAAGAAACGATTTCAGATTTGTTTTCTGTGTGTTGTTATTAATTAATATTGATGATTTTTATTTTTAACTTTTAAATTTTATTAATAAGCATTTGACTATTTTTATTCCCACAGAAAATTATATCAACACAACCTGAAACATCACCAAATTTAAAAAAATTATTATTGTCACTATGTACAAAACATCGGCAACATTTTTATAAACCTATACTTGCATGTGTTGCATCAGATTCCGAATCAAAGATTGCTAGTCATCTTCATCTTATTGCAACTTTACAAAAATATTTAAGTCCTGTAGAACTTTTTATGCAAGATGTTGAATTCATGAGTGTTATTATTTTAAGTGATGTTGGTCCGGGTATAACAAAGACTGCTGGAAATAGTCATGATCTAACTTCAACTGCGCCAAATTCAACATCTAAATGTGTATGGGGTTCCACTACATTAGGTCAATGCGTTATTGTAATGGAATTTGTGTGGATAATTAGAGAATTAAGGTTGAATAATTCTGGTGTAAGTAATTTTCTCTTTCCAAGTATACCTATATTCTATATGTATATGTTAAAATTAAATTTGCCTACTTTTATTAATTGTTTTTTTAAAATTATAGCATTCAAAAAATTCAAAACAAGATGTGATTGCTAAAATTTTCTTAAATGATCTGGAAAAACATTTAGCAATTTTTATAATTGCAAAGGTATATTATTGTTGTTATTATTATTATTGATATATTTTGGTAATTGATTTTAATTTAAATATATGTTTATTAGGAAAAAACAAGGTTGATTCCAATACCTTTACGTGTCTTATTATGTAACCTTTTTTTTGAAATACGTTTATATTGTAAAACAACTTATCGGTATAAAATTATTATTGTTATTGTTATTGTTATTGTTATTGTTATAATGCGTATTTTTAACATTTTGGAGTACTTTTTTTTTCAAGTCCAGGATGGTTATCTCGTATAATTGATTGGATGAGTTATTCAGCTCCTGGTGCTGCCATATATCGGGATTCAATAATCCAGCTCAATAAATTAAACAATCCTTTTAAATTATTTTCTGAACCAGAAGTTGATAATAACCAACTTAATGAAGTTGAATGGATTTTTCAGCGAATAAGGGTTGTTTATGCAAATCTAGAAGATTATAATTCAAATGATTCAAATCAAGTTAGTAGATATAAATGATTTGATTATCATTAATCCCTTAAAATATCATTAATGGGTTGTTTCTGTTTATTTTATTTAATTGACAGGGTGATCAAATGGACGTTCCTGTTCCATTTATACCAATTCCTTTGTCAACTACAACACCACATACACCAACTACTCCCAAAACTCCATTAACGCAATATAGTGAACTGAAAAGACATTCTACAATTATTGTTTCAAATACTACAATAAATCATCCACTCCGTTCATCATCAAAATTACCGACACATCGTCTTCATCGATTTAACAACTTCAATGAAGATCCTGCTGGTTCAGTACTTTCTTTACTTGTTGCAGTATTCTCCACTTTGACATCTGAAGAGTATGTAAAAATAGCACCACGTTTATGGGACAGGTTTTTGAATGATCGTGAACATCAACCTTTTGCCTCGGCCTCATTTCTTTTTATACAGTGTGGTGAAAAAGCTTATAAAATAGTAAAAAATTTAATCATGAAGGATCTTTACAGGTATTATTTTTTTTTTTTTTGAATTTTAATAAACATTATTTTAATTATTAATTAATTAATTTACTGATTTACTGATTTATATGTATATTAGTACAAATGCATTGACCCGTGCCATAACTATTCGTAAAATTTCTTCATTGTTTGGTCACAGAAGTCAACTTTTAAGCCAACCTTATGTGTCTGATTCTAACAGGCGACGTCCTTTCCGATCACAAGCTCCAGCAATTCCTTTTGTTCCAACTGAACTTGGTACTTCAGAAATGATGATGTATGAATATTACAGAGGCTTGTCCAATAAAAATGATAATAAATTGTCCACAGATGTTAAAAAAAGAATTCAAGAACTAGGTTGGGAAGAGGAAGAAGGAGAAGGTTTGGAAAATTTAAAACGTATTACAACGCCAATATCATTAATACCAACCTTTTATCTTGATGAAGAAGAAATGAAAAATAAAGAAGAATCAAATATATTACATTCTCATGAAAAAATCAAAAGAAATATTCGTGGCAATCACCCCAACAACAATATGCAATCAAATGCAAATAAACGTAGAACAGCATCAATTCTAATATTAAGTTCCTTTTCATTGCGACTTGTAGATTTATTGGATGATCTTCATGGAGGAGTATTTAACCTTACTAAAGAAATTATAATTTATTTTCTCAGAGATGATCCTCTTTTATTTCTTCGAATATTTTTTAGTGAACTGGGCACAATCAACTTTGAAGCACAAAAAGAACTTCTCACAAAAATCCATTTTCTTATTTCAATGCAACATGTTTTTCCTTCAGGCTTTTCACATACCCTTTTCAATCATCTTGCTGGAATTTTGAAGTGGTATTCACGTGATAACAAGAGTAATGGTTTAGGACTTATGACATATGTTATTCCTATTTTAGCAGAAATTGTACCTACAGTCAATGATTTACTTGTTCGCGATTTTCGGAAAAACAAAATAGAAAATATTCTTTGTAACAATGGTCAATTTTGGTTCACAGATGGTTCACCTTTGGATATGTTTCCACGAAATTTGACAAATGATCAGGTTACATTTCAAATACTTGATGTGCCACTTGTAATGTTTCAAGTAGCTATTCTTCGTATTGGTCATATACATTTCATGACCAATTTTGTTATTAAATGTCCACATGAAGTTTACTCAGTCAAAAAGATGATACAAGCATATATACCAATGCCATCTACAAATGCATCTGAAGATTCAATATGTGGGTTGAATGAAGATGAATATTATTTACCAGATATAAAAAAATCTAAAGGTCATACAAGTGAATTTTCTAATCCATCTACAAGAAGAAAAAAGGATGTGAAACTTTTATCAGCTCTAAGGGCTCGTACATGGTTAAAATTTTTATTGGTTATGCTTGAGCGGTTAAATAGAAACTACAATGATAGAAATGAACTCAATATATTTTTGAATGGTGCAAATAGAATTCTTTTAGAAAATGCTGATGATTTTGGTATTGTTGGCCAAACATTGATTTTATATACAACCACAGTCACAAGATTTCATAGATTATTTGATGCAAATCGTGGTTATTCTATATTTATTCCAGCTTTATTTAAAGTTTTTTGCGAGTCCGAAAAAATTCCACCAATTCGATCAGCAATTATTTTTGCATGGTGTAAATTCTTTCGTATTCACGGCGAATCTTTTATTTTTCAGGCTCTTGGTTGTCTTACACCTTTGATTCTTAAGGGGTCAATTAAATCAACAAAACTATGTGAATGGATGAGCTTGTCATTATATGAATTATTTAAAGCATTAAATTTTCCTGTAAATCAGGGTGATTCATTAGGGATACATGATATAGTTGATGAATTAGAAACTGTGGATACATTATTCTCTGACCCACTTCCATTATTTAGTGGCACATTTAAAAAAAGGGCTAATAGTATGGCATCTAAAGCAAAATCTGGTTTATTAGGAACACAGGAAGAAAAAATATTTTCTTTAGAAGATTTGGTGAGATTATTCATGACAATTATTGCTTATGATCCTGGTTCACTTCGTGCAGAACAATTTGTACAAATTTTACAATATTTAGTACCTCATTTGTTGCAAGAATCTTCTTCAATAAGAACATTGGTGGATGACGGAATGGCAGCTTTAACTGAAGTATTCCTCAAGTTTTCTAAATCATCAAAGCCTATAATAAATTCAATGGGAAACATTAATAACACCAATATTTATAATTCTGAAAATGGAAACAAAAATGAATCAATGGATAATCTTAATATAGATAATAATGATTTACATATTTCAGAGGCAACAGCTCAGGCTTTTGGAAAACAATGGCAACAAAATGATCGTATGACAATAAAGAGAAATTTTTTGGTTCTTGTTCAGAAATATAAGAAATATGGAGGGATTTTATCAGAGAATTCACATAGCAAGTTGGCAAATATGATTTGTTTAATGATAAAAGATTATGCAGCAGCAAAGAAAAAAATTTCGACAAATTTTCTTAAAGATTATATTAAGGATGCTTTACTTTTCAATACAACTTTTGAAGATGGAAGAAAACGTATCACATCACTTATACGACAAGTTGCACCGTCATTTAGGCAACATTACAAATCAATCGATTTTTCTGGATTTATTGATGGACTTGTTCTTATTGTAACTGATAAATTAAAATTCACAATGAATGATCATACAATGGCTTCTTTCATCAAAGAAAAATATATTTCATTTGGATTGAGTGTTGCGTTAAGACCTGATAGAGAAGATGGAGAGCCTATGCAACTTCATTTATGTCAAAGTTTGGTTGACTTGTTTGTTTCAATGATGGTATATTCAGATCAAGATATACTTTCTGAATTAGATAGATATTTGCCAACACATCAACTTATAGCATATGTTTTAATTCCAATATGTTTACAATATAAACCAGAAGATTCTGTGTTTATGCCATTACCTTCAAAAAACGACTCACATAAATCAAAAGCAGCAGATTGTTGGATTAGAATTTTATATTTTATTACAAAAGCATGTAATAAAGGGATAGTTTTAAGATCAAAAACTACATCATTTGGTTTTCGTAGCACATCAAACATATCAAATCCGATTACTGATAACAAAGATGAAAATGAAGAAAATAATTCGGGAAAAGTTGTATCAATAACAGCTGAATCAACGGCTACATTTATATTAAGTTTTATTGCACTCAAAATTTTGCTCGTACGTGCTGAAAAATACATTACACATACAAAAGGTATGTGGGTTCATATTGCACAATTTATTAGACAAATGTTGAATTTTGCAGGGACAGCATCTTTGTCACAAAAATCAAAAACAGCAATGATTTCATCAGGATCTACTCCGGCAACAAGTATGCCCAATTTACATGCAAACAACGATATTAGTGAAACAACTAATGATAGAAATTCTTTTAATCCAAATTCACGATCAATTTTTTTATCTTCAACTCAAGATTTTGTTTTGTGGGCATTTTTGGAATTGATATTGTATTACAAGCTTCCCATTAATCTATACATGAGAACATTTATTCATCAAAAACTTCAACAAGCAGTTCTTTTTACTAATGGCATGCACCATAAAGGCTCATCAAATGATAACTCAAATAGACAATCATCGCCAATTATGGCATCGGATTCAAGAAGATCACGTTGGAAAAGTTGGGGAGGACCACCAGCAGGAAATCAACAAATATTAAGAGATATTAGTGGTACCTCATATGAAGCCAAAAAATATTCAAGTGTTAGGTCTCGAAATGAAAACGAAAGTAATGTAAATAATATAAATTGCAATCAAAATGGCTCTTTTACATCACCATCTGGAATGATTAATAATAATATGATTAATAACCTAATCAATGAAACCTTTAATTCATACTCTAATGTTCATACTTTAATGGGATATGGTGGTTATGTCACCAATGTGGATGATTCAGCACAAGAATTGAGATCGTGGAGTTATTCACAAGTTTTGGATAAGTTGAGAGAAGAAAAAAAATTAGTCATGGACACATATAAAAATATATTTAACAGTACATCATTAAATGAAGGTGCTGGTAATCATATAAACATTGATGTTAATAATACTGGTGATCTATGATGGGTTTTTTTTTTTTGTAAATTTATTTTATTTATTAATATAATTTATAATAATATAATTAGTATTAGTATATATTTAATCATAATATAATATTATTTTTTCCCCGTTATTAAAACTTATTATTGTTACAAGCAATAAATACACAAATTAATTAATTAAATTATTTCATGAGATGAGTGAAAGAGGGAATAAATATCTATTTACATTTATTGTTGATATTATTAAAAGTTTTACTTTTCTGATTCTGATTCTGATTCTTTAGTTTTTTGTTTCTTTCTTCAAATGTTAAATTAACCAATCAACCAAAATAGAAGGTAGAAAATTGTTAAATCATTTCCAAACTTATTTGTCTCTTCTTCTATGATTTTCTTTAACAACGTGCTTTATAAACGTGAAATTCTCCACTACCAGCACCAGAACTCGATCCTTTTTTTAAGATTAATAGATATTATTATTGTAATAAATAAAATAATCTTTTGGAGGTTTTAATTTAGTTTATCTTGTATTTCAGGTATAATAACCGGCAACTTTGGACTCTGTCGTCCTTTCATTCATTCGCCAAATCAACTTTAAAATTCTCAAGTAATTTTGATTTTCTTTTTATTGGCTTGTTTAAAATTAGATTCACCATTAACTGGACGTTTAATGCTCGAACAATTAGAAAAAGGAGGAAGTTCACTAAGAATTTTCATTTTACTTAATTTTTCACCAAATTGATTAAATTGACTTTTAAATAAATTATTATCATTATAATATTCCAAATTACTTTTTACTTTGGACAATTTTTCATACCAATTAACTTGTAACTCGGTGTTAAATATTAAAGTCTTGCTGTTTTTCTTAATTTTAAATAAATTTGGTATAAATTTCCGGAAAAATCGATTCAACAAAACAGATTCATCCGATTTAATCAGATATTTCAAATGGTAGGTTTTATAGGGAATTTCTGAGAAGAAGAATTGTTTGCACAGTTTATCGAAAGTCTCAAAAATGGTTTTTAATGATTCATCTTGTTCCATCTTAATATGTGTGAGTATTGATTGGGAGTCCATATAATATCTAGCCAATAGAATTTCATCGAAACATCTCGACGTAACTCTAGAGTCAGATTCGAATTTTTTGAATATCCAGGAATAAACACTTAAATTCAACGAAAATAATCGTATAAATCTATTACTATTATCACCATGATTGCGACCACAATCACAATCACAGTATTGATTTCCTATGTTATATTTATTTAATACTTTCAGGAAACTTTCTTCGGGATTTTCAAGTTTTTCATACAAGAATTCTAAAATGGTTAAATTTTTTAGACCTTTTTCAGGCATGAGGATTTGAACCAAACAATATTCCAAGATTTGTTGTATATCTTCATTTCTGAATATTTGGAATGATTTCAAGATTAATTCACCAATCATCGATAATTCATTTTCAAATAATAGCAACACATCACCCATGACTAGTTTGGTTAATTTAAACCCCAAATTGACAAATTCCCTCAATCTTGAAACAACTTTAGTTAAATCTGGAATATTAGTATTGTTGTTGTTGTTGAAAATAGTTGGTGGAAATAACATGAGATAAGTTGCTTTTAATACTAAATCATTGTAATCGTGGAAAATATCTTTGTATCCATTATTTTTCCATAATGTGACCAATTTAGGATTGAGAATAATTGCTCTTGGGATAATATTTGAGGTTATGTTATTTTCATAACCGTCATTTAGACAATGATGATTTTTTTCAACACTTTTAAGTTTTAAATTTTCCTGATATTTTATGATGTTGTTGATTTGTTGCTTTGGCCTTTGTGGAAATGGTACAAATTTATTTGTCAAGATCAAATCCTCGATTTTTGATAAATTTTCATTCATTTTGATTTTCGCTTTATCAATTGGAAGGTCTCCTCCTGACAAGTAAAAAAAGACTTGCATATCATTTCCTTTCAGATGTAAATTAGACTTCCATATTGAACTTGCTTTCTTCAACAAGTGAATATATACATCTAACGGAGTGTTAGATCCCCAATTTTTGGAAATATTTTTGGTAGTGCTATTACTATTATTATTACTATTATTATTATTATTATTATTATTATTACTATTATTATTATTATTATTATTATTATTATTATTATTATTATTATTATTATTATTAGTGATAATATCATGTTTGGGCTCTTCAGAAACTGTCTCACGTAATTTTTGAAATAAATTTTTTTTTAAAGTTGTCAATTCTTTAATCTTTGTAATTATAAATGCTTCGTCAACATTACCATTATTGTTGTTGTTCTCTTCATTCAGGATTATTCTTGAAACCTTTTCATTGCGATCTTTAATTGTTGTAGTATCTATTTTATTAAATTTGTCAACATCTTTATTTGATTTTTCATTTTCTTGGTTTTTAAAATTTTTATTATTATTACTAATATTATTATTATCGTTACTATTACTACTACTAACACTATTATTGCTATTATTGTTATTACTACTCATATTATTATCATAATTCAATGAACTAAATGATGATGATAATACTTCAATTAAATTTTCTTCTTCATCAGAAATATTATTATTATTATTATAAGAAACTGTCAAAGGATTTTCAACTTCACCATCTATTATAATTTTATTTAAATCATCATTATTCATATTCAACATGAGTTGATTATCATCATCATCATCATATTCACTATGATTATCACTACTAATATATTCACCTTCTTCCTCTGATGATAAATACTCTTCTTTATTATTATTATCATCATCATCATCATTATTAACATTTTTGTTATTATTATTATTATTGTTGTTGTTGTTGTTGTTGTTGTTGTTGTTATTATTATTAGTTAAATGTCCATTTGTTAATCTATGATTATGATTATAATCATGACCTCTAGCGTTCTTATTATTACTATCATTGCTAATGTAGTTGTTGTTGTTGCTGTTATTTTTGTTGTTGTTGTTGTTATTGTTGTTATTGTTGTTACTACTTATACGCTGCTTTGATAATACTTTATGAGTTATAGCTTTTTTTATGTGTTCAGGAACTGGATCTCTAACTGAGAAAACAACATTTGTCAATATTTGATTGTCGTCCATTGCCTTTATCATCATCATTATTATTTATTATTATTATTTTTTTTTTTTATTATTTTTATTTTTTATTTTTGTTATTTTTTTATATAAAGAATGGTAATTATTATTATGACGATTTATTCGAATGGTTTATTATGATTATTAATTATTATTATTATTATTATTATGTATTATTAGTAATGTTATATTAAATGGGTTTTTAATGAATATTCAAAACAATACCTTGCTTTAATATCCTGTTTATAATTGTTGTTGTTAAAACAACAACAATAGACATTGTCAAAAAGTTTGGGAGAAAATTTATATATGGTATTTTGGTTTAATATAATAATACCAAAAGTTAGGACATATTTAAGTTTTATATATAACTGATTAAAATTAAATAAAAAAGTTAATTCAGTAATTTTGTCTTACTATATTAATAACGATAATGATCCACACATGCATAATTTTTCGAGGGAAAAAATACAGAAACGTAGTTTCTGTATATAGTTTCTAAATTTGTATTAAGTTACACGAAAAAAATTCGATAGTAACCAAATTTGAAAAAAAATCTTGATTTTAACAACTTGGAATCTTATTTTTCTTTGGGAAACTATTATATATAAATGCCTTTTATTATAGTTAGAATAGTTATTAATTTCATAACTTGTCAACTTTTTTTTTAGTTAGTTCTTTTTTTTAGTTATTGTAATATGTTACAATAAATATATTAATAATAATTATGTTATCAGTAGCAAATAATTATTCTTCTTGTGGAAGGAAAAGAGAACTTTTTAATATATATGTGCGTGTGTGCGTGTGTGCGTGTGTATACCATACCCACACCATATATCATTCATACATTGTCTGTTTTGCACACATGCACACAAAAAAACCAGCAATAATTAGATGTCTGTACGACTTTTTCAATAATCTAAAAATTCTCTTTGCTTGTTTATTTATTTACAAAGTAATATTTGTGAATAATTTTATTTTTTTTATTTTTTTTTTATTTTATATTTTTTAATATTATAGACACGATTAATCTTAAGAGATAATTTGTATATACAGTAATTTATAAGTTGTATGTATAATCGATAAAGATTAAAGGTTAATTTTATTTATTTTATATATATATGTATAATATAATAATGATTGTCCAATGTGCAATTCTAAAAAAATTTAGTTTGTTTTATAAAAAAATGTTTATTGATAATCATTATTATCATGGTTGTTGTTGTTGTTAAAAATTTGGTTGAAAGCTCCTTGCAATTGAAGAAGAGATTGTTGTTGTTGTTGTTGTTGTTGTTGTTGATATAATAATGAGAAATCAAAAAAATCAGAAGGAGAAAATGAATGTGGTAATAATAAACTATATGGGTTGTGAATATATGATGAAATATAATCATTATTACTATATTGTGGAATAAATAGTGGTATCGATGAATTATTATTATTATTAGTGGTAATGTTTATAATGTCGTTGTTGTTAGTATTGATAATATTGTTACTAATACTAGTTGCATTATTATCATTATCATTATTATTTATTGTTGGGAATGAATTATCTACAGCTAAATCATCTATTGGACTTTGATAAAATATAAATGTATTACTATCGTTGTCATTATCAGCATCAACACTATCGCTATTGTTGATATTGTTAGAAGGAGATGTCGAGGACGTTGAAGATGCGTGTCTTTTATTTATTAACTCTATACTTTTATTATTATCTTTACTGTTATCAATTTTCAATTTTCTCTTTCTTTTTCTTTTTGAACAATTATCATCACCTTCGTGCCCTTCACCTAGTAGTAGTCCTTTACCATTGTTCTCATGTTGAGTTTGAGAAGAAGATTTACTACTGCGACGACGTTTTTTCTCTTCGGGACGTCGAGGCTTGTATCTATATTCAGGATATTTTTTCATATGCTCCTGTTTAGCAGTTTCAGCCATCTTCTGATACTTGAGTCTAATGTCCTCAGGTTCTTCATGCCACATTTTGCCAATTTCTTTCGAAACATCATTATTTGATATTCCACCATTATTTTTAGCCAATATTGAAGGTTGTTTTGCCCTTCGATAAAGAATAAAAGCGTTTGGTGGTCTTGGAGGTTTTTTGTCGGGTAATAATAATGAAGAAGGTGAAAGTGGTGGTTTCTTTGTAGCGCCAGCGTTTGTGGTGGTTGTTGTCGATTTATCTTGGTTATTGTCGTCTTGATCATTGTCAGTATTATTGTTAACTGTACAAGGTAATGCGTATGATGGTAGACGAACGTCAGTGTCAAGCAGCATTCTTGACACGTTAGGTGCTGTCGAAACCGGTTTAGTGGATTGCAACAGATTGGTGACCGTTTGATCTTTGATGTCGTTTGGCACTAGAACAGGTTCAAAACCATCAGGGATAAAATAGAAATGTCCTTTCCCTTGTTCATATAAATCTTGAATTTTATCATATGAAACGTATTCGAAAATTGGAAATTGGTTTTTCTTAAGTTTAATAAAAGGTGAAAACGAAAAAGAGGTAGTAGTGGTGGCGGTGGCGGTGGTGGTGGAAGGGTTAGAAGAAGAAGAGGAAGAAGAGGATGAGGAAGAAGAAGAAGAAGAAGTCGAGGAAGGAAAAGATGAAGCGGTGGCGGATAAAGGTGATGGTTCGTCATCATCATCATCATCTTCTTCTTCTTCATCTTCTTCGTCTTCGTCTTCTTCAACATTATCATTGTTCTTATCATTATCCTTATTATCGTAGAATATTTTTTTTTCTAACAAATGCAATAAAGAAGATTCGATTAACGATTGTGCTTGGCTTAAATTGGAAGAAGAAGGTAGGGGAGAAGAATGAGAAGAAGGAGGAGAAGAAGAATGGCTATCAAGCTTGTTATTATGATTATTATTGTTAATATTGTTGTTAATGTTGTTTAAAATGGCCATTGTTTCAAATATGTATAATGAAGAAACAGAATGACTCGATGATGATGATATTGTGGAATTGTGAAAAGTTGTTTAAAAAGAGAGAAAGAGAAAAAGGTTAGTTTTTGTTTTTTATTTTGTTGCTTTGAAAAGGTTTTTCAAAAATATTTGGGAAAAAATATGATTTTGTTTCAACGAAAAGATACATGATTTAAATATATATATATATGATTTAAATATATTATATTATTAATATAAAAAAAATTTTTATTTATATTTGTGCATAATTTGCCAATTTGTAACACATTTTATTTGTTGAATATTATCGCCAAAATTAATAATTTCTTTTCACTTGTATTAAAGAAGATGGTTGCATGACTATTTTACTAAAAAAGTTTTACATGTTTTTCTAATTAATATATGTAAAAAAACATAAAAGTGTGTTTATATATACATGCATACTAGTTAATACCGTATATACCACACACATGTAGCTTAAAACTTGGACATTGCAATTTTCCTAAATTAAAATCCTCGACCAACCAACCGTTAGCAAACCAACCGTTAACAAAATAGAACTTGAATTGGGCGAAAAAAAAAGTCCTTTCTGTTTTAATTCGCCCTCTTCTTCATAACCAAATCTATAGTCAATCATTTTTTTCTAATAACTTTATATATTTTTAATTTTAATTTTTTTAGATTAATTATTTGTTTGTTGAGTCATGTTTGTGTGTGTTGCGTGCATAAGAGTTTTTCATAATTAACAAATAAATTATATTGTTAGGGTGTTGGAAATTTTACAATGATCGATAATATACAGTTGGTATATATAATTAATTGAAAGGTTGGTTACACGCCAAATAATGAATAATAATTTTAAGCATATTATAATCCATGATGTAATTAAAAAAATCTCAATGCTAAATTTTAAAAAATTAAATTATACATTTATAGTCGACAAGATCCCCCATTCATAAAAAACCCATTCTTCTCAATAACTTTAATTTATTAATCCCCGCATTAATTCGTGTGGAATTAATATCAAAAAGTTTCAGGAATTTACATAATTGAAAACAAACAATGGTAGTTTCCAAATTTGTCGATATAATTAATAACACACAATGTTCAATAACGTTATATAATAATAAAACGTTATAATATAAAAAATAAAATAAAATTATATTACTGGAAAAGGCAAAAAATCGGCCGTAAACGCCACCTCTTATCATTTTTCTTCCAATAAAAATTAATTGAGCCCCATTCAAATCAAATATATACGAAAAAGTAAAATGTTTTTTCAAATTTGGTAAAAATTAATAAGCTTTTTTTCCAGCATTTACTAATAAAAGAATTTCATCATAAGGAAAACGTACCAATAGTGTAACACACACAGATACAATGCAACTAATGTTATTATATCACCATTATAAACATACTAATACAGTATTAGTATAAATAAATATGTAATTTGCCTTATAAAATGAAAATATTTTTTAATTATGTTTTTACCTATTGTTTTCTACTGACCTCGATAAAATTAAATCTGACTCGGAGAATTTATTTATTTAGATTTAGGTAAAAATTAATATAGATAATCACTAATTGTAAACAACTAATTATAAAACTAGCTGATAATTATATTTATTCGGTTATTTTTTCCATTTTTTTCAACACCTACAAATCGTATAATCTTGTAAATAAATTGTTATTTTTAGTCTTGTTTGATAAAATAAAGCTGATTTTTGATTGTGATTTTTCAATTGTTTAAAATCAAAAAGAAAAACTAATTAATTAATTCATCAATAATATTTCAATCAAAGTCACTTACCTCCTTTACATTCTACTTGCATAATAATTAAAATCTAAACATTTAAGATATATATTCAGACAATATTTATTTTTGGTTCCTTTGTAATCAATTTGTTTTGCTTGTATTTTATTGATTTCTTTAAAAATTTCTTCTTTTTAATTAATTAATAATTTATGATTATAAGAAGCATGATTAAAATAGAACAATCGTTATTTTCTCACCGATTAATTACTATTTAGTTAGTCTATTAATATTATTAATATTCAAAAATGGTTTTGAAGAGAAAATATAAAGAAGAAAATCACGGAACAATTTGTGAAATAAGAAGACCTGATGATTTCATCGAATCAAACAATTCAGCTCTAGATTAGATTGGTTATATTGGTAAATAAATGAATGAATGAATGAATGAATGCACGGCGGGATGAATGGATAGATGGATGAAGTCATAATTAATAATCATAATAAACCATTCGAATAAATCGTCATAATAATAATTACCATTCTTTATATAAAAAAATAACAATACTAACCATGAACTTTGATTGTTTGAATTTCCTTCCTTTCAAAAATAGTAAAGTTATTAGATGCCCAGTTAAGGAAAAATAAAAATAAAACTTTGTTTGTAACGCGTACAGTTTTTCTTTGCGTACAATTAAATGCAGGGAAAGAAAATAATTGTTTAATTACTCGCTTGCTTATTACTTAGAGATGACAGGATTAACAACAGGAACAATAAATAAACAAACTAGTTAGACCATGTTCTTTCATAATCATAATAAATACGCATTTAATTAATGCAAATGCAATGATTTACTCATTTATTATAAAAAATAATAAATTACGAATACACGCGACAATATCTTTATTATTATTATCATTATCACCACTACTATTATCATTATCATTATCACTATCATTGTTATTAATTAGTATTAGTGATTAGTTGTCGATTGATTATTCCTTGGGAATAAAATCTATAACGAGAGAACAAGGTTTATGATTATCATATTATAATGACAGTGATGATGGTAATAACAACAATAATAAATCATTTGTAGTTTCTTTTATTAGAAAATGTGAATTTTGTATACTATCAGTATATCAATATTAATATACGCGTAGATAAATAAATAAACTCATGTACATTTTTGTTTTTGTTGATTTATTCTTCGCATGTATTTATTTATTTTTGCATTTATTTATTTTAATCAATCTGTCTGTATCCAAGATGTCGTTGATTTTATTTCTTCTATTGCTGCGGTTGCATTCTAAATTTTTGTACTACCAGTTGGATGAATGCAGTAGATCAAAACCAAATCTATAAATTTTACAAGTTTTTAACAAATAGATACTTCTTATTGTCCATCATTGTTCAACTAATATACGCGTTTTTTAATATATAATCATTATTATATTATGATTATACAACATGCATATAAAACAGGTAATAAAATAATTATTGCTTATATTGGAAATGCCTAGAAATCTATATTAATTTATACATGTATACAGATTATAATTCAAGGCTTTAAATCTTACAAAGATCAAACTGTTATTGAACCTTTTAGTCCAAGACATAATGTTGTTGGTAAGAAGTCATTGCAATAATTAAAATAGAATAAACCTTTCATTCAAAATTTTTTTAATTATTATTATATTTAAAAAAGTTGGAAGAAATGGATCTGGTAAAAGTAATTTTTTTGCAGGTTAGAAATTTTTCATTATGATTAATTATTTATCTATTTGTTTGTTATTTGATAAAGATTGGTTGATAACTTTTTTTTAAATTATTAAATAAAAACCATAATATAAAATCAGCTATTCGATTTGTATTAAGTGATTCATATACAACTTTGAGTCGTGAGGAGAAACAAGGTCTTCTTCATGTAATTAACAATTTGATCTTATTTTACAAACTTATATAAATCTATCTATACATATGTATTGCTCTTTTAATAATAATAATAATTATTATTATCATTTATTACTAATAGGAAGGAACTGGACTTGCTACAGCATCAGCTTATGTAGAAATTATATTTGATAATAGTGATAATAGATTTCCTGTTAGTAAATGATTATTATTAGTTGATGATCATGATTGATCTTTACTGCCTTAAAAAAAAAACTTTGATTGATTATATTTTATTATTATTAGACTGGTAAAGATGAAGTGGTTTTACGTAGAACTGTCGGGACAAAGAAAGATGAATATTCACTAGATAAAAAAAGTGCAACGTGAGTTTTTTTTTTTTAAGAATTAATTAAATGTGATTGTGTATACATGTGTTTAAAACATATTCTCTAATTTTTTTTTGTATTTACTTTTTATTATAGGAAAGCTGACGTGATGAATTTATTAGAAAGTGCAGGTTTCTCACGTTCAAATCCCTATTACATTGTGCCACAAGGAAGAGTAAGTATTGATCAATATTAAAGATTTGATTTTTTTGGGGTATTGATTAATTGCTTAGTATATATACAAAATATATATATGCACACACACAAAAACGTGCCTATGCAGATAATGGCTTTGACGAATGCAAAGGATCTTGAACGTTTAAAATTATTAAAAGAAGTTGCTGGCACAAGAGTATATGAACAACGTAGAGAAGAAAGTGTTAAAATACTTGAAGAGACAGGTTGATAGTTAATTAATCAATACTAGTTATTATTATCACATGCATATATTATAAGTATTACTTTTTATATTTTATAGATTCTAAAAGAACAAAAATTGAAGAACTTTTACATTATATTGAGGACCGCTTGGCTGAATTGGAAGAAGAAAAAGAAGAATTAAAAGTTTATCAAGATAAGGATCGTGAAAGAAGATGCTTGGAATACGCAATATTTCATAAGGAACAAACTGAATTGATAGAACAATTGACAAAGGTTTGTTTTAACAATGTATATATAATATATGGAGTTTTTTTTTATTATTTAATATTTAATATTTTGTTGCAGATGGATCAAACAAGAGAGCATAAAGTTCATAATTCAAATCAACAAAATAAAGATTATAATGTTTATGCACAAGCAATCACTGTAAGAACTATTATAATTAAAATATAATAAATATGAAAATTTATTTCAGGAATTAAATATTAATATATATTCATATTAAAAAAAAAATGAAAAGAATATTGAACATGAAATTTCTCAACTTCAAGAATCAATTGATCTTTTAAAAGTGGAAAAGCGTGAGCTTGACGAAGATTTACAAGATAAAATTAAATCAAATGCTCAAATAGAATTAACTATAAAAGATATGGAAGATACATCAAGGCAAAATAAAGATTCAAAGGTTTTTTGATTTTTTTTTTTAGTGTTTTGAATTTTAAATTTTATTTATTTATTTTTAATACGACAAAAATATTTATATTTATTTTTTTATTTGTTTAGAAAAAAAGAGAAACGGAATTAAAGACAGTTGAAAATAGTATACGACAAAAAGAACTAGATTTAGCAAACATAATTCCAATATATGAAAATGAATTGGCTCAAGAGGCTGCATTGAGAGAAAGGTTTAATAATAATAACAATAATAATAATAGGTTTTTTTAATTTATACCGTTTTTTAAAAAAACACATACGTGCGTGTATATATAGATTAAATGAAACAGAGATGCGACGTCAAGCTCTTTATGCAAAACAAGGAAGAAGCACACAATTCCAAACACGTGCTCATAGAGATGCTTGGTTGCAGAGTGAAATACAAGAGATTGATAAAACAATGGATGCACAGCGACAACAGGTTAGGATCAAATATATATATATATATATATATATATATATATATAAATTATGGATGATGAATTGTATCAAACTCTTTATCTGTCTATACATAAAAAAAAAATTTTTTTTTACGAGTTAATTAGGAAGTAGATCTAGAATCGCAAATAAATGATTTAACAGAAAGTATAAATAGAGTAACGAATGAAATTCAAATAGCCCGAAATAAATTAGAACAAAGAAAACGTATCATTGAAGAAATGAATCGTGGTTATATTGAAAAAAAAGCCGAAAGAGATAGACTTACTGACAAAAGAAAGTATGTACAAAAATAAAAATAAATTTTATTTATGCTTCGGTTTTTTATTTATAATAATAATGAATCTTTTTTTAATAGGGAGCTTTGGAGGGAGGATTCTCAATTAGATACAAAACTTGTTAATGCACGTGATCAATGGAAAACTAATGAAAGGAGTTTGGCTAGTTCTATGGACAAAGTATTTGGTTTGATTTTTTTTAAAAAAAAACTTTTTTTCCCTATAAAAAGAAAAGTGATTTATTGAACAATTAATATTGATAATGAATAATAGAAAACTAATAATGGATTAAATGCCGTGAAACGGATTGCTGAGCAATACCAAATAAAAGGCGTTCACGGACCTCTTTATGAATTATTTGATTGTAATGATTCAGAGTATTGGACAGCTGTTGAAGTCACTGCTGGACAAAGGTATTATTATAATATGATATTTATAGATACACACAGATTATATAAAATTAATAATAAATGTACACTTTAATTTAATGGTAATTTATACTTTAAAAGCTTATTCCATGTAGTTGTTGATAATGATGAAATAGCCACAAAAATTCTTGATTATTTAAATCGCGAACAAAATGGGCGAGTTACATTTGTGCCTTTGAATCGATTAAAATCAAGAAATTTTGAATATCCAAATACAAATGAAATTTTACCTATGATAGATATTCTTAAATATAATGAAAAATACGCTAAATCCATTGAACAGGTTTTTACAACAACAACAACAACAATAATATTTATTTAAATATATAAATAAACAAATAAATATATATGCATTTATTATATTTATTGTGATAATATTATAAAGGTTTTTGGAAGAACAATAATATGTGATAGTTTAGATATCGCTTCTTCAATATCAAGAAGTCATGACTTGAACGGCATAACTTTAGATGGTATATTTTTATCTATAAATTTACTACTACCGTTATTATTATTATAAATAATCATTGAAGATTATCAATTTTAGGTGATCGTGTTGATCGTAAGGGAGCATTAGCAGGTGGTTATCATGATGTGCGTCGAAGAAGATTAGCAGCTTCAGCAAATTTAAAAAAATGGAGAATAGAATATTTAGAATTAGATAAAAGATCTAAAACTGTAAAAAAAGAAATATCTAATATCCTTTTTAAAAACCCCTATCATTGTAAACATGTAGACAAAAACTTTTTTTTGGGTCCTTAACTCTTATTTTTTTTTTTAATTAGTACATTTAGACGAACAAATTAATCAAATATTAAGAGATATGCAATTTATTGAGGCTAAACAAAAACAAGCTCTAGATAGTCGTGATCCTTTACTGTTTGAAATCAATTCAAAGACTAAAGAGGAAGAAAGTTTGAAAATGTCATTAGCTAGCAAGGTTTTTCTTTTCGCCTTCTTTCCATCAAAAAAAAAAAATATTATTATTTAATATAATAATTTTTTTATTGATTTATTTTATTTATAGAAAAAATCTTTATTAAGTATTCAAAGTAGCATTAAAATGTTAAATGCTCAAAAACAAGCTCATGTGACAGAGATGAGTACAGAGCTTACACAGAACCTAACAGCACAAGAACAACAATCTTTAGAACGACTTAATTCGGATATTGAACTGATGCAAGATAATTTATCAAAATTATTAACATCAAGATCTGAGGTTTAGATTATTATTAATATTATTTATATTCAAAATAATTATTGTAACAAACCCATGTAAACTTATAATCTATATTTATAGCTTGAGGCGAGCAAAAATATTATAGAGAATGAATTGAATGCAAATTTAAAAAGGCGACGTGAAGAACTTGTGATGCAAATAGAAAGTTTAAGCACCGCTGATGATGACCAACTACATTCAATTAAGGAAGGTTTAATGAAATTAATTCGTGAAATGAAGAGACGTTCGCAAGGTGTATTTACACGCATTTACATGCATTTTATTATTATTTATTTATTTATTTATTATTTATTGTTATTTATTGATTTTAATTTGAAAAAAAAGAAATCGAAGAAGAAATACAAAGGCTTAATAAAAAATTCAATTTAAAAAAGACTGAATCGGAAACATTAAAGGTAACGAAAATAAATTTCGTTGAGTTGGATTATATGCTACTCCCTTCATGTATTCTCATCCTCTCATTCATTCCTTTTTTTTTCAATTATTATTGTTATTATTTTGTATATAAAGTCTGAACAAGCAGAACGACAGCAACAATTGGAGAGGCATCAAAAAGATGTTGATAAATTTTTATCAAAAAGAAAATTATTGTTACAAAAAAAAGATGAATGCACAAAAAATATTCGTGAACTTGGTGCATTACCAGAAGAGGCATTCGAGGCTTATGTAAATGAAGAATCTGCTAGTGTGAGTTTCACGTTACATTAATTTTAGGTACAAATACATACAAATACACATATATATTAATTTGTATATTTGTTTTTTTCCTTTCAATTATTAGCTTCTTACTAAATTGCATATGGTAAATGATGGTTTAAAAAAATACAGTCACGTTAACAAAAAAGCTTTTGAACAGTATAATAATTTTACCAAGCAACGTGATACTCTTATGAAAAGAAAAGAAGAATTAGATCAATCAAAAAATGTATACGTTATATATATTTATATACAATGCTTGTTATTATTGAGGAAATCAAAAAATTAATATTGATATATTTTTTTTGGGGGAATTTTAGTCGATAAATGGGTTAATACAGGTTTTAGATCAACGTAAAGATGAAGCGATTGAACGTACGTTCAAACAAGTTGCTAAATACTTTTCTGAAGTATTTGAAAAATTGGTTCCTGCAGGTCGGGGACAATTAATTATGTTAAGAAAGATTGATAGGGTACTCGCTTTTTTATTTATCTTTATTAAAATTTTTAATTTTGTTTGATTCTACAAAATATAATAATAATGATTGATCAATATAGGGAAAAGAGGTAGATGATGTTGACGATGAAAATAATGAAACAAGTAATAGTTCAGTAGATAATTATAGTGGAGTTGCTATTAATGTTTCTTTTAACAGTAAGACTGATGAAGGTCTTCGAATGCAACAATTATCTGGAGGACAAAAATCTTTAGTGGCATTGACTCTTATCTTTGCTATCCAACAATGTGATCCTGCTCCCTTCTATTTGTTTGATGAAATTGATGCTGCACTTGATGCTCAATATCGAACTGCTATTGCATGTAAGGAATTTTTATTAATTTAGTCCTTATTTAATCCTTTTTTTAAAAAATGCAAATTCTCCATTTAATTATGTGAATTATCATTTTAAAGCAATGATTCATGAATTATGTGACAAAGCTCAATTTATCACAACTACTTTTCGTCCAGAAATGTTAGCAAATGCTGATAAATTTTATGGTGTAACTTTTCAAAATAAAGTTTCAAGTGTTAGTGAAATAAGTAAAGATGATGCACTTAAATTTATTACACAGGTAACTTTTTTTCTTTAAAAAAAAGATTCCTTTTGAAAAGAATAAAAATTATTAATCGATTTTTTTAATAATATTATTATTATTAAATAGGAACAACCACGATAAAAAATTTATGCTAACAAAATAAATGAGAATGATAATAGTACCTAAAGATTTTTTTTAATTATATTAATAAATGAACACGCGCATGTATATAAGATTTATGATATAAAGCACAATAATAATTTCATTTATTCAAATCAAACATATATATATATAATAAACCTACCTTTAGAAATCATACTGACGTAACAATTTGTATTATTATCATTATTATTGCTGTTGTTGTTGTTATTGTTGTTACTTTTTAAATTGACCATGCAGAAAACCATTTACTAAAATCTAAACGTAATAAAAATTGATCAAGATGTCTTGGTGGACCATCAAATCCCTCGCCAGTTTTATTAACTTCAGATAAAGTTCGAAACAAAAATGATATTTGTTCACGGAAGTCCTTTTATTTATTTTTTGGTTAATCAATTAAAATGTCAATAATGTAAATCAAGTATAATGAGAAATTATTAATAGAAAAATACTTTCTTACATTTTCTAATTTTATAATCATTTCAATTTTATTATTATTATCATCTTTAATATCGGAATTATTAACAACATTCCATCTTTCTAATATTGTACAAAATTGTTCACAAATCTTTAATGACGATTTTATAGTTTCTGAACATACTTTAAATTCTAGTAAACATCCACGTAATAAATCATTAAGATATGAAGCATGACCCAAACGAATATCTTCAAAATCTCGAAGTGTTTCTTCCATTTCAGAATAGTTTTTATTCTTATTATCTGCTACTGGTTTTTTTGATGCATTTGCATTTGTGTTTATGTTTGTGCTATGATTATTATGTTGTTGATGGTGAGCAGATGAAATCGTTATACGTTGAACTAATTTGTAAAAATTTGAATCTATAATATCCATCTGTAAACATATAAATATATTTAAATTTATTCAATAATAATGATAATAATAATTTTTTAAAATAATAATAAATTCAAACGATATAACCTGCATATGTTCCCATAAACAATCAACAAAAAACATCATCATAGAACGAATTTTCCACGGTAACAGTTTATTATTATCGTTATGATTTTTTTTTTTATATTTTTTGTTGTCACCTTGTTTTGTATTAGCATCTTCTTCTTTAAAATATTTTTCATTAAATGAAAGATGAATCCATGCTCGTTGAAGTTTTAACTGGGTCCGTCTTATTGATATTAAGAATGAAAAGATGTCACCATACTTGCTCAAATCTTCTGATGTAACAAATAAATCTAATGGCCAATCAATATTGTATTCAAGTCTAAGTGAAATTCCAAACACAAAGTCGTCAAATAAATTATTAGGTGATGTTTGTAAAGCATTATTATTATTATTATTATTATTATTATTTTGTTGTTGTTGTTGTTCATTTGAAAATGGTGATGATGATGATGATGATGATGATGATGATGATGATAATGGTAAAAATTTGAAATTAAATTTTTCTAATCTAAAATCATTTTCTGCTAATGTTCCTACCGAAGCTCTAATCAAAAGAGAATTTAATTCTTGCTCTTTGATTGATATGATTCTTGTTGATAATCTTGGGATTGTGATTTTTTCAAACTGTTCAACCAACGATAAAGCAAAATTTCCTTTACCAAGTAAAAAATAATTTCTAAATGTTTCAAGACAATCTATAACCTTTTCACCTGTTAAAACAACTTGCCATAACCATTTTGCAACATTGTGACGAATTGTCAAGATCGTGCTTTCAAATTCACTTTTATGAAATATAGGTTGTGAAGAAAGTTCCATCAAATATTTCAGATGCAATGACCTAATTTCTTGTGGTAAAGCACTATTTGAATTGTATGACGATGATGACAGTGATGATGATTTACCAGAATTTTTTACCGTTGCAATTGCTTTTCCTACAAATAATATTGATTTAGCAATATCAATTGAAATGTGATTCGGAATAAATGACTCATCAAGAACAAATCTTCGATGCCAACTTGATTGAATGAATTGATGATTGTTGTTATCTTTGTCATTGTTGTCTATTTTTTTGTGAGATTTAGTGGTTAAATCTTTGACAAAAAATTCACCATAAGGATCTTGCAAATGTCCGTAAACAATCCAAGATGTGATATGCTGATACATAACCTTATGACAGGTTTGTAACAATATCAGCATAATTGATCTCAATTCAGGAATTCCACTATTACATTTTTCTTTCATTAAATTTAATATTCGACAACCAAAATATTTATTATTGTCTGAGTCTTCTTTTAACTCATTAATCAGCTGATATAAATTTGGTAAAATTATAAAATAATCACCAAATGCTGATACTATTTGAGAAATTGGAACAATTCCACACATGTTAGCTTCTTTGTTTAAAATTCCCATTTCCGATTCAATTATAATTTTTTGAAAATCTTTTAATATATCATTTATAGAATTACATAAAGCCTGTATAAATAATCCTTTTGAATTATTGTTGCTATTGTTACTGTTGTCATTGGACATGACGAGACATTTGTTCCTTTGTTGATCCAAGAAATCTAAGATTTTATGATAATAAAACCCTAATTCGGCAAGTCTTTCCAATGAAGATCTCTCAGCATCATGTAGAAAGGGAAAGTCTGGTGGAATTTTGAAGGTTTCTGGTTGTTCAGAACCTGATGGATATTGAACAAACAAATCACCAGAGTACCCTGATAATGCTAATAGTAATTCGTGAAGCATTTTTTTTTTAAATTATGAAATCTGTACTAGTACTAATACGCGTGACATTGGGCCTTTATATGCAGATCTATAAAATGTATGAAAGATTCGGCTCTTTTAAGTAAAAGATTAAGTTTTCATTTAAAAATGAGTTTATGCCTGTAGCCAAAAAATTGAGGTACTTTAAATTTTATTAATAGAATTTATATATATATATGAAATTATTAATCAACTGCTGTGATAACATTCATTTGTTCCTTATTTCTTATTTATAACCCTCGATATTTGTTGTAGTTTGTACCAAAAAAATATTCCAACTAAAAGTTTCCTAATGTCTTCTAAATTGTTCTCGTTCATCACCATTATTCACCAAAACTTATTCGTACTCCTTCCTTACTCTGGAGTACGACATGAAATATCTAGTCACCACATGATGCATCAATAATAATTATTAATAAATAGTGGCTATGATATGGCTTTTGCTTCAAGATTTCTTGATGCTGGTAAGTGGATCACTGAAGATTGCGACACAGAGGAATATTAACGATTGTAAAGGGTGGAGCTTTTGGTGGGTGAAAGGATACGGCACTTATAACGTTTGATGGAACAAACTCCACTAACTGCTATAACTGTTTCCTGGAATACTCCAAGAGTTAATTCTAATACATCTGTCACAAAAGGTTACGGTCCCAAATATACCGCTAATCCCATCTTAACTGGCCCTGATGACGAACTTTGTACAGTTACCATTAAACAAATTGGTGTACATGTAAATGAATTTTTTTACCATATTTTTATTTTATCAGCGAAATGATAATAATTGTCATTACATTTTTATCTATCTATCTATCATCTAAATTTACTTTAAAGATATATGTGTAATTTCTAACTGGTATCAATCTATTTTCTTGGAACAATTTTTGTAAATTGCTGTCTCAATTCGTTTTATAAAATATAAAATCTTAATTCACAGCCTGGTGCAACAAAATCTATATTATTGTTGTTGTTGTTGTTAAAGGATTTTTTAACTATTTGTAAAATTATAAATGAGGTCTTATTACCTTTAATAAGATAATATAGATTACAATAATTATATTTATAATCTATATATTACTACACTATGGTTACTAGTATTATGCATGACTTAAGAAAAGAACGTCAATTACTTCTGCCACTACTATTTATTATTATTATTATCTATCTACAAGGACTACGAGAAAAATATTTTGGATTAGCAATTTGCACACATGTTGTGCGTGAAAATCAAACTCGCGCAGATTTCAAACTCACGCACAACGCATATGGGATTTGGACTAGGAAAATCAACCTCTCAGCTGATTTTTTTATTTTAAGTTTTTTTACTTAGTATTAATCTATTATACAAGGATTAGATACAATTGGAGGAAAGATTGGATCTTGTTCGCATATTAGAGGAATGAGATATAGGGCTTGGAATACTTTCTTTGTATATTAAAAACATGCGTAACCAATTTTAAAAGGATTGTTACTAAAAATAGATTTTTGCCTGAGTGGTAATCTAATTCCCATATTATTTTACATCTGATCAGTGTATAAAATTCAATGTGCGGAATGTGCGGGTGTAACATCGTACATTAGTAGTTTTCTGCAGATAGTTTCTAAATTTGTAGAAATCTGCATTAGTTACACGCTGAAATTTACACACTAGGGCAGTGTTGTGCAATTGGAACATTGTAACGCTATTGGAATGTTCCAATGTAGATCTTCAATTGATATCATATGGCTCACGTTACATATAATCATCAAATTGCTGCATCATGCGCTGAAATTTCAAAAAATTGTTTTCCCAATTTTTTCAGATTTGTTAAAAACACGGTTTTTGTAAAAATCACAAGATCAGTTAAAAAATTTTTTTTTTTAAAAAACCAATTAAACTAATTCCCAAACTTAAAAACTGTAAAATGCCTTACCCATCCAAATGCAAAAGTCAATTAAAGGATCCAAGAACACAAATTGAAAAAAAGAGTATGTTCTAGAATTAAATTACATAAATATCTTGTAAATAAAATTAATATCATTTTTGTTTTTGAAAGGTGATGATGAATTATTGTTCAATGATGTTATTGTAGATGTTGATGATGAATTGTATATTATTATGAGAAATGAAAATAATGAAAACAATGAAGAAAGTGATTATTATATAAGTGATTATGATTTAACTGACAATTCAGGTAGTGAGGATGAATGGAGCAATATAGATTTGACAAACCACTTGTGAAATCATTTGAAATTACAGAAGAAGCAATTGCTAAACAAAATCTAAATTCATTTGAGGTTCTTAAAGAAGCTTCTA